ATGCGTGTAAAGTGCTTAGGGATTCTTGAGGATGACAACACTTTATGAATTGAAATAATAGTAATAATAAAAAAACTTTAGCGAAATATTATTTAGTAAATACTATTTGATTTCTATTATTACCCAGCTGACATATAGTAGATACGTATAGACACTGTACCAAATGGAACCATGCAAACAGTAATCATTTACTTGATGATATCCGTATTAATAATTCTAATATAATATTAACAACAACAATTATATTAATTTGCCTTATTCACTACACCCAAGTGTGCTGAAAGCCCTTCCTCCAGAGAATAATACGATTCTTGCAAATCTCATCACTGTATAGCAGTTTCACAGTTTTCAAGCCATTACATCTGTTGGCATATTCAAGGGACCGACCGAGCAGTGCATTTCCAGCTCGTGGTCTTTTATGTTTTCTGACAGCCATATAAAGAATCTCTGGGAGAGGAGCGGCTGTGTCATTATCCTGGAGACTCGTTAGTGCCACCATTGTGGGAAAGAGCTCTGCACAGGGGATTAGCTTCTAATTGTGTGTCATGTCCTGTTAAGAACTACCATACAGTGCGGGTTTATGACACCTTGCTTTACTGGGTTAAAGGGACTCGATCAGCTGATGAATGCAATTATACCAAATGACACTGAAATTAAATTTCTCCCATCACTTGCTCTTATTTGAGGGGATAAAGCATTCTCCTTTTGGAAACCTGATCCTATTATAAAATGTCTTAGCCTGTTTCTTTATTTTTTTTTAATGCCAGTATGTGATCAAAAAACCCATTAGCAAAACCCGTCATGACTAACTTATTGTAGAATACAGCTTTTAAGAAGCAAACAGAAATAAGAAGAGTGCAGAATTTTTCCACACAGTGATTACAATTTTATTGCCCAAACCTGATTGGGCTAATTGAGGTCTCTGTATTCAATTAAATGTTAAAACATTGCAGAGGATTATTGACTCTTCTTGTTTAGTAAATTTCTCATTAGTATGATGTATGGGCGACCAGCTCCTGACTGGAAGGTCCTGGGTTCAGTTCCAGGCAGGGGACAGCGATGTAGCATGCTCTATTTCCTTCCAGACGGATCACATGTCCACTCAGCCTGCTTTCCAAATGAGTACCAGTACTGGGGGTTAATCCTTCTGGGGGTAATAGGCCACCTGGAGTGTGATGATGACCACATCACCTCCACCTCCAGTGTCGGGTTTTGAGAAAAATGGTGGCCCTTGCCCCCCCATTCCCCCCAGGGGCCTTTATGGCCTGAAAAGGGACCTACCTATGATGTATGGGGCAAATTTTATTTTTTATCATTGGCTTATAGCCTAAAGATTGGTTGAGCCCTTTCTGATGTATTAAATGTCAATACCTTTGTCTTGTGATCCTCAGTTTGTTTGGTGGCTGATTCATTTCTCTGGATATGTATTGTAGTAGACATTACTTTAATGCAACTGAGTATTTTAGCCTAGGATGATTTGAAAAAGGAGATAGTAGTGAAAGAATGGTTTGTAAAGATGTTGTTAACAAGAAGCGCAATGCATATATTATGTAGGAACAAAGGTTATCACCTATAGCACAATTAAGGAAAAGTTACAGTATTACTCAAAATATGAATAGAGGAGGAGTGTTTCAAATTTTAGAGCCAGTTAAAAAAAAAACTGTAATGAAGCTGGATGAGAACTTTGAAAAAGTAACCTACAATCAGATTACACAGACTGGCCACATTACCACCTGTCACTTGTTCTTATACTGGTTTATTATTTTCAATACGGAGTGGAAGAAAACATTACTGCTGAGAAGGAACATCAATGCAAATGAATATGAAACGCATTGTTAGTTTCTAATTTTAATGCACTTTGGTGTTGTGCTGTTATCATAGGTGACAATGTCTGTTGTCATCTAGAGACAATATAGGGTTATTGTCAATAACCCTAAAACGTTATCATCTCTTCGCCTTTCAGCTGGTGTATGTGGGACCTTAAGATTTTCACAATTTTGTGCATCTGTCTGTTATATCCATCCATCTGAAGTTCAGGTCAGTTTATTTGTCATATGACCAAGTACGATGAGATGCTTATTAAGATAAGATAAGCTCTGATACAAAGACATTAAGGAAACAGCAAACATAAACACAGAACAGCAACAATAACATACAACTTAAATACAAATCAGAGAAGCAGTGTGAGAAGAAAACAAACATCAGTGTGAGTCAGTGTTAGGGGTAGAATTCAATAATCTGACAGCTTGCAGATAGAAACTGTCTTTGAATGTGGTGCTCTGTGCATTTGTACTCCTATGACCTTTTCCAGAAGGAAGAGGAGAGAAAAGTGAGGAACCAGGATGATTCTTATCCTTACCAATACTCCCAGCCTTCCTGAGACAGCAAGTTGTAAAAATTTCAAGTGGGTAGCCGAAGTTGTGTCTGCATGCATAGGCTGCAAAGGAACAAGTAAAAGAGAGGAAAAGAGGAGCCTGTGGCTGTGGAGTCTTCTTCGGGTGTGTGAGAGAGAAGAAAACCTGCAGTTGATAAAGCAGGGGAGAACAACAGCCAGGAGTGGAGAGGAGGCGGGAGCAGGAGAGAAGGAGTACCGTGACTCAGTGAGAAGTCAAGAGGTGAGGAGAGGTGTGAAGTCAAAACCTGCAAATGAAGGAAACGAGTCTGTCGTTGAGAAAAGAGGGAAGGTGTGATCCTAGTTTCAGGCTAATTTTGATTTTGGATGTCTTTCTGCAATAGGAGTTCTGAAACCCCTCTGTGAGGAGTCAAACGGAGAGATCAGTATGATCATGACCATTCGAGGTGGAATGAGAGATGATGGGCTTGGAGAGATCTTTGATCCTCGCAGCCCTGACATGTTCCCTGAAATGGTCTCCAAGTCTCCTTCCTGTTTCACCCATGTAGATGGCTGGGCATTTACTGCAAGAGATGAAGTGAATAAGGTTGCTGGAAATATATGATGTAATCTGAGTGATCAGGACCTGTCTAGAGGGGCGCTGAATGAGCGTGGTATTGAACAAATATTTACAGGTGATACAGCCAGCTCTGTTGCAAGGGAAAGTGCCTGGTGTGGGTGAGAGCTGGGGGCGGTCAAGGGAGCTGTGAACAAGGAGGTTACACAGTTTAGTTGGTTGGAGATATGAGATGATGGGGCAGTCAGAAGAAAGGGTACCACTCAGTAGCGCACCTGTAAAATGTAGTAAGGATAGTTGAAGATAGACCACATTGTCAACTGTTGTGCCTTATTTGTAGCTCCAGTTACATGCTGGGGACATGTTAAATTGTTAGTAATGAAGCAAAGGAACAAGTAAAGGTTCATTCCCTGCTGGAAAGAGAAGAAAAGAAACACGTTTCAGCTATGGAGCCTTCTTCAGGTGTGAAGATAGTAAGGTCCTCATAGATCCTCATGGATTCTCATGGTCCTCATAGGTCCTCATGGATTTTAATACATTTTTTTAGAGTTCATGTCATGGTTCAGTTCACTTAACGGTGTGGTATTTGGTTAGGCTGAGATGGAACAGACTGAATTCAGGGTATCTTTTTTGCCATTATAGTAGAGTCTTTGCCCAATTTAGTTTGCATGGCATGACAGTATGTTTGTGCTAATTTCACTTCAACCTTTTTATGTGCAATATGTAAAAGAAAATACATATTTTACTCAATTCTCTTTTATGTTTCAGTCACAGTTCACAGATGATCAGATTTGGCAACATGTACTGCTGGGTACATGATGGGTAGCTCCAGACGTCCACAACCTCTTGTTTTAAAGACGTCCTCGAGGCAGACGCAGCGTGTTCTTAGAGCTTGGAATATCCCGTTTTATATATATTTTGTGCTTTTGCATTACATTTCCTCTGATTGCAGTCTTGCAAGTCTAAGTCTCTTGTTTTTGTCTCATCCATGTACCTGCCTAGTTTGTGAAGTACTCCAGAATGTGGTATGGAGAGCAATCTACACTCTGCTTTCTGTACACTAATCGGTTTTCGATGGAAAGACGTAGGTTACGTTTATTGCTTGCAATTTGAAAAATGAAAAACTTCTTTTTAATTAATGATTTCTAAATTCATGCAGTCTGTTCCTTAGAACACTATTATGTTACTGATCCTCCAATACAATAACATAAAATGTAATAAAAAGAATTTGACAACAGAGAAAAGGGAGGTAAAAAACAATTGAAAAAAGAACGAGAAATTGACTTGTTACGTGACATGAATCTGTTTTGCGTATTAATTTTATCCTCACTCCCGCTGAGGTGTTGCAGAGCGATCTAGCATTTCCATGGCAACCGGTGGAGTCTCAGCTCACCTGTCCGTCAGCTGGTTGCCATGGTTAAACTATCAGACAAGAAGCCTGTACCACCTGTGCACTTACAACCACACCCGTCTCAGGATCAGGCCTGTGTAAGATCTGCCTTGGCTTTACTTGGGGCTCTGTTATAGAGTTCTGCTCTGAGCCACAACTCTTCTCTTGCTTTGCATTCCCCGCTTTGTGCTTCTCTCTGAACTCTGCTACATTCTGACCTTGCCTAGCGGGATACCTGACTATCAGCCGACCCTGCTTTGTTACGACTGCGGCCACTAATTTCATTTGCACTCTGCTCCAGGCTACAGACTTGGATTGTTGGCCTGACTTTGGCTTTGGATTCTTTCGGAGCTTTTCAACAGTGTCTACTCGGGTGCAAACTTTGCGTGTTCTGACCACAGCTCTGGACAGTGTTTGCAGGCTCATCACCGCACTGTGCTCTTGGGTTGACCTCACGGACACGGACGAGCCGCGGTGTCACAGTGTGACACTAATGTGTTTTGCAACGTGAGAATGGGTAGGGCTGTGCGAAAAGGAGGCTGAAAGGATGGGAATCTGATCAATAGTCAATAGGAAGGCAGCAATCGGTCAATGAATGTTTTCACTCTATGCAAGACTAAAAATACTTAGTCTTTCACTGCTGATTTATACTGTTGTTGTATCCCTGCACTAAGTGCACTGGTTAATTTTGTCGCCCACAGGTCCATCTGGGGCGCGTGGGTATTACATGTCCCATCACGGAGTGCAGTGAGCACCTGGAGGACAGCACAGTGTTGGCACACCTGCCTGGTGAGGACATAGCCAAGTACATGTACTTCCTGGAGCTGAGCAGGGTAGACTCCAGCACTAAACCCTGCCCACAGTGCAACCACTTCACCTCCCTCAAGAGCAAGACACCCAGCAAGTCCGAGAGCAGATACAAAGTAAGCGTGCTTTCTCTCCAGCATGCTACGATTTATTCTGTATGTTTTCCAATATACTGTACAGCATTCTCACCAGTGAGGTGAGAGGGAGGAGCCGGGGAGAAACTACAGTTGTAATTCCAGGCTGAAAAGGAATAAAAAAAAAGAAGAAAACATTTTTCAGCCATTGAACATTCTCCAGCTGTGTTGGAGATGAGAGTGAGCAGCAGTGTGAGGCCAAGGGGTGGTCTAGGGCTTTCCCTCACAGAAAGATCCTGGGAACAGGTAGAGCTGGGGGAAAAGGCAGCAGTCTGTAAGCGAGGGCCGAGGTTAAGCGGTATGGATCATTTTGGATTCTGATTTATTTTCATTGTAGGAGTCTTTGAATCTTAAAATACCTCCTGTACCAGAAAGATATCAAAAGCCAAAATTACAGAACAATTACAGAACACAGCAATGCAAGACAAAACTGTGCATTGTGGAACCACAGTCTTCCAAGACTGTCTGAAACTACATCACTATATGTTTTAATTAAATAATGAGTTTCCTGACTATATTTCCTGCAACACAGAGAAATTCTAACTTTTTAAGTGATATGCACAGAGGAAAATGAATTACTTATTCCTTTACTCTGTATTTTGAAGTATGTTACACTGCATAATAAACACATTGGCACATCATTCTCTCTTTGTAATTTTAACGAGGTGCCAATTCTTTTTTTTAAATTTAGATTTTTCTCACAAGGTAGAGAATATAGATAATAGAGAATTTAATATGGATGTTACAGATTACTTTTCAATAATATGTATATTATATATAAATTATATGTATATAATAATATATAATAATAATAATGTATATATGTATATCAAAATATATGTTTTCATACATTCATAGCTTTGTGGCATAAATAGAAATAATTAGGATATTCTAAATGGTAGCTTGTTCATGTTTTGGAGTTTTTCACAGTGTGCTTATTGTACTGTTATTATTATGTTATTTATGTGTCATTAAATGTCAAAAGCAATGAGTGAGGAATTATTTCTCAGTGTTCACTCCTTGTCTGGATCCTACTGTATACAATACTCTCCTGGTCACACAGGGGTGGGTTGCTGGGAAACAGGCAGATGTATGTAATTCCCTAGTATTTCTGCTGATTTGTGTCATGGATCATGTTTCAGTAAAGGGGTGTGTTACTGATTAATAAATCTTTAAAAATGCATTCTTTCATATAGATTGACCTCATATAGATGTTTTTTTTCCTTTATCACAGTAGTGTTGCCTTTATTAGATTATATGTCATTATCTTTCTACTGTCTTTGATACTGTCTTGTATACAAGTATATATATATATCTACCATGTTCATCTTGATTTGTTCCTACAGGTGCAGAGTCTCGATTTGTTCCTACAGGTGCAGAGTCTTGATTTGTTCCTACAGGTGCAGAGTCTTGATTTGTTCCTTCAGGTGCAGAGTCTTGATTTGTCTGACTTTGCTCCTGCAGGTGCAGTGTCCGAAGTGTCAGTTTGTGTGGTGCTTCAGGTGCCACGCTCCCTGGCATGATGGTCTGAACTGCAAGGACTACAGGAAGGGAGACAAGCTCTTACGCCACTGGGCCAGTGCAATTGAGCATGGGCAGAGGAATGCTCAGAAGTGTCCAAGGTGCAAGGTGCGTCCTTTAGGAGACATCTGATTTTAGGCTAACATATCACTTTGTCTGGAGCCCGCTAAGTAATATTGTCTGTAGAATAAATGGTACCTTTATTTTTTAAAGAGAATAAAGCTGTGATCTTTAATACTAAAATAACAGTATCTTTAAACAGACACTGAGATCATGATTATTAATTCATTCCAGAGTCAATTCCTTACTGTGGAAACTGGACATCTAGTAACGTTCAGTAGATCTCCCTTGACAGGATGAAGTACAGAAGTATGCTGCTTCATTCTCTGGTTCAGGGAGACTTAACAAAGAAAAGGTGAGCTGTCAGTGCCCATTGAAAGGAGCATCCTGAAGATCTGTTAAATCAAGAATCCACGGTCAATGATAGTGTGTTCAGTTTTGTTCCACAACATCCAATTAACGACAAACGTGGAATTCTACCAACAATCAATGAGGTGAAGTCATCACACAAATGAAGACCTTCAGGGCCGCAGCATGGGATGGAATTAAGTCAAGTGAACAGGAACACTCTCTCATCATACGAACCTGAAGATAATCTTGAATGATCTCATGGATACCATGTAAAAATCTTCCAGAAAGGCAACAACTATAGGAATTACAGGGATCAGTATAAGACCTGAATAGTCCCATTCCTCCTGCTGCGGAGCTTCTCCACACATTGCAGTGGCATGTCAGTTTCTTTAAAGGGACAGCAAGCATAATTTTTATTGTCAACCATTTACAAGAACAATTTTTTTATGAGACACTCTGGAAAATCCTTCCATTCATTCCACTATCTGTTGCAAAAGAAGAAGCCCCAGCTCCATCATTTCAGGTCCGGGATCACTGGCTTTAGAATGCTGTGCATCACCCACACCATGATGAGGGAACTTTGAGGAAGCAGGTGTTTAAGGATCACAACATTGAAACTGAAACCAGACTGCTGGTCTGTTGTGCAGGTCATCATGCCTACCTTACTGTATGGGGCTTAAACATGGAGAATGTACATGACATATTTAAATGGACTGGAGCTGCTGTTTGTGGAAGATTGTGTGTATCAAGTGAGATGACAGGTGACCGTTAGTATTCTCTCCTACACAGGCATTACAACCATTAAAGCACTGATCCTCCGTCATCAGCTCCGCTAGGTGGGTCGTCTGGCTTGTCCAGACATTAAACTCCGGTAAGAAAGATCTCTTCTCCTAGCCTGGCCAAGGCAGTCATGTCGGAAGAGGACGGAAGGAGCTTTACCAAGATGTGGTAAAAGTCATGCAAAATCAATGTCAGCTCCTGAGAGATTATGCCCCACGACTGAACCAGATGGAGGAAGAATATATGTGAGTTTTCCTCAACCCCTCTGAGATTACAAGGAAGCAAAGAGAGAGTGCTGAAGACACCTCAATTTTCCAAAATGTTATTAGTTGGTGATAGTTCCATTAATAAGCCCTATACGTGTTCTCCATTCAAACATTTCTGTATATTTCTTAAATTTCTGCACTCCTCCCAGTGTCCGTGTGCTTCAGTTTGTTCTGCCTCTGATAACTGATACGTGATTTCTTTATTGACAGATTCATATCCAGAGGACAGAAGGCTGTGACCACATGACCTGCTCGCAGTGTAATACTAACTTTTGCTACCGCTGTGGTGAAAAGTACCGACATCTCCGATTCTTCGGTGACCATACCTCGAACCTCAGCGTTTTTGGCTGTAAATACCGCTACCTCCCAGAAAAACCCCATCTGCGCCGACTAATTCGGGGCTCTGTCTGTGGTAAGCATACACTCACAATACATGTCCTCTGATTGCCATGTCCTGTATTTAAATGTAAAATACATTTATAAAATAGTTTTGTACCTTATAAGTGTTTTTTGCGCAATCTAGTGCTATCAATTTTTGTATGGTGATAAATGATCAAGATTTACATTACAGTGCAGTGAACAGTAAGACAACAACATATCCAAGCTTAGAATTTCAGCTCATCACACTTGCTGTATAGTACTTGTCATATCGTTTAAATGTGGAGATAGTTAAATTTACAAGAGTTATGACTTTTTGTGTGAATTTTCATTTTTCAACATGTTACTAGGTAGCCCCGGGTCTGCAGAAGGAAGTATTTCTTCTAGATTTTTATTATTATTTGGATGTTATTTTGGTTTCCTGCCCATTGACAGAAACTACAGATGCATGGCGGAGTCGCCTCTTCACAAGACTGTGGAGAATGCATGATCTCCCATTCATTTACTCATTCTTGCTTTGTATTCTGACATTGTCTAACGTATACTGAGGTGCAGTTCTCATGTTTTGAGACCTGTGCCTAGTTATAAGGAATAGTAAAGGAGAGGAAAGCACCTTTTATTTTTTCAACTGGATAATACTGGATAATACTGGATGTTTTACATGCTTTAGGACCCGTTTCTGTATTTTTGTACTTCAAACTGAAAACTGCCTTCCTTTACTATTGAAAAGTTTTTTTTTACTATTAAAGTTGTGTGTTAGTGACATCCTGATTTAGTGAAATTCATTATTCACTAAACTAAATGAATACTGAAGTGAATAATGAATAATTAAAGACATAACAAATACAGTATGGCAATAGAGGACTTTTAAAGCATTCAAAAAAAATTAGGACTACTTTACTGTATGTTTGTTAATGTTTATGTTTTAAAGACTTATTGTCATTGGTACCCTCTAATCACAGATGAATAAAAAATATGGAAATGAGAGAGAGTTCTCTTAAAAGAGAATTCTATAAAAAATACACCACTGAATGTTTAGCACTCTGTCTAATGTACAGTTTGCTTTTGCTTTTAAACTGGTAGTTTTGTAAACGGATTTTCCATTAAATTAATTTGAAAACTTTCAAAGTTTGATGTTTTCCATTTAAATGAGAAGAAATATACAGTTCCATTCAAATGCTTGGAAATATCTTAAGCTAATTTTTCAAGAGAAAAATCGTAAGAACACAGACATCTTTCTAAACTTGTCACATCTCAAAATTCTGCATTTCAGTGTGGTGTCCGGCAGCACAAACAAGTTTTGATTCTTAATATCAGGAACCTGCTTCCAGATATTGGTCACTATTATATTTTTTCACATTAGAAAGAGGCACCTTCACAATCCTCTTAAAAAGCTTTTCTTTCCTAGAAGATGGAAGCTCAACAAATAATTATGTTCTTCAGTTATCTGCATTACATGAGGGCTAGTATTGAGTGTTCATGTTTGCAGAGTCAGACATTCTATCATTAGCTCTCATGTGTTGGCAAACTACTAAAGACTGGGTTCATGTAATGTTCCCCGTATCAGATGAAATGAGCAGAAGAATACAGATCACATCTAATACATTTATACTTTGACATTCATCCTTGTGGCCTGGTCCTTGCTTTTTCATATACTGTATTATGTAAGCTCTGTTATACCTAAAGATCAGCTGAAGTGAGCTATTGTGATTTTCACTGGTCGTGTATTAAATATTTAAACAATATGCTTTCCTAAGTAGTGAGGCATGACATGTTGCACAGGAGTTTTAGTTCCCTGAATGGAAAATGGGTTTAAATTACAAGTCATCAGATCTACAGGCACTGCCAGTTTCCCTGTGTGTGTGTTCTGTGTCCTGTGTGGCATTTGCTTTATTTTATCACTGCTTTTACTTGGCTGATATTGTACATTATTGGTGACTTAGTGTGGAGTACTGTAAATAATATAATAATAATAATTCCTTACCCTTATACAGCGCTATTCTGGACACTCCACTCAAAGCGCTACAGACTACAGAGAGTCAGGACCGCGATTTTACGTCTCATCCAAAGAACAAAGCCTCTTAACAGTACAGTGTTCAAGTCACTATACTGGGGCATTAGGACACACACAGACCGCAGGGTGAGCGCCCCCTACTGGCCCCACTAACACCTCTTCCAGCAGCAACCTTAGCTTTCCCAGGAGTCTCTCATCCAGATACTGACCAGGCTCACACCTGCTGGGTGTCAGCGGGCTGTCTGTTGTGAGTTGAAGGGTGATATGGCTGCTGGCATAATTTAAGAAGACTGTCATGGCTAATGCACAAATAAAGGGAAAAAAGAAATTTAGAAATTAACTTAAAAAATGTTGAATTCCTGCTTCTAAAAACAGAAATATTGTTCAATCTTGCTTTAGTAATATGGATTCTATTACTTGTGACTGCTGAGTATAAAAAAGTGCTCAGAATTGATATATGCACCCAAAAACCCCCCAGTGTCATGAAGGGTAATCAACTTCTGAATGAGCTGAGCAGTATATGTACAATATACTGCCTTCAGTATGTAGCTGATGATTTACATAACCATGTTGGAGACAACATTTCAAATAGAATTCCACAAAAAAAAGTAAATAGAAAATATCTGTATAGAAAATATATTAATTTTATATTATATTCATTTTAAGCGCTTTGAGAAGCCACCTTTAAAGGTGCTATATCAAATAAAGCTTATTATTATTATTATAGAAAAACTGCATTCTTGCAGATTAGTAGATGGGCACAATCCAAAGGCAACAGTCAGGAGGAGTCACAGTGTTCAGGATCTCGTTGTTGATGGAAATGAACATCATCGGTGCCGTAAATATTGTCTTTTTAAGGAGCATTTCAGAGAGTTTTCATTAACACATAAAAAAGAATATACCTACAAAAGATTTGTGCTCATGGTATGTTTGTTCTCTTTCCAGTAAGTAAAGTCCTTGTTGCCCCGGTGGTCATAGTGCTGGTGGTGGTGTTTGGAGCCATAGCCCTTGTCATAGGTAAGCATCCAAAGCACCTTCTGTCGCTGAGGGCAGCGTGAAAGCTCAGCTGCAGGTCTTGAGAACTGTGGGTTTTCTTCAGTTCCCCATCACTGCTGGAAAACTGAAAAAACAAACAGAGCACAAACTGTTTTCTCTGGTCAGTTTTCTTTCTCGGCAGTACGTCATAGCTTTCCTTCCATGGAATTCACAGCCTGTGTGTAGACATTTTTTTGAGCCCTGTTGTTAAACTTGACTTGTTTCACAAATTATCTTTAGTTGTTCAGACAAATGAATTGAACTTGAACAATTTTCAGATGTGGAGGTGATTTTAAAGTGTGTGGTGTTCCTGGTTTCTTGAGAGTCTAAAGTTGGCTTTCTTAATATATTTGCAGGTGGGTCCTTGAGCACACACTACACTGTAGAGGATTTTTCGAAGTATAATACATTGTTCACTTTTTAAACCTTTGAAACCTTAAGTGATTACAGAGAGACAACAAGAGATAGTGGTTAATAGTTTCACGTTGAAACACAAATAGATAAATATTAGGAGATGATGTTGGATTTGGAGAGGTCCACTCTGAATATGAAATGACGAGTGATTTCAAGACATGAAATTAAAAGGTAGGCAGAAAACTCAGTAATGCAAAGGAAGTACTTTAGTTCCACTGCATAATAAATATAAACACATATGCATACACATCAATTGCACAAGTGATGTTAGCACATCAAGCTACAGCCCTATTATTGCTGCAGTTGATTATATATTGAAGAGGTTTTTTTCATCTATCAAATAGATGCATAATACTATCATGTGTAATAATTTTACAATTAAAAACTGCTTTGAAAAAACATTAAAGCCGTTTAAAGCTCCTCTGTCCACATTATAACATTTATATATGAATAATATACATATTTTTTATTTCCCTGGTTGTCTATGGCAACTGACACGACTCACGTAATTCCTTTTAGAGCCTGGCTTCAGCTGGCAGATAGGCTTCTCACTGCTGATGGCCGGATGGATGACATTGTTATACAGAGAACTGAAGTTTGCTCAGTCTTCTTCTGTTTTCCACCTGACATTTAAATGTAGGTCTTGTCATGTAAGAGCAGGTGGTATTTGCTTTGCGACTTCTCACATAAAGGTTGTTTGTCTGACCTAGTTGTATGAGTAACTTTTGTTTGTGTGTCTCATTTTTTAATAATAAAAAGTGACTTTGCACTATCAAAGCTTACTTCAGTTCACGTAAACTAAATCAGTTCAGGCTGTTATACAGTGTTTTGCAGTCATTTGGTAGTAAAACAGAAAGCAAAATGGGAACATTGTATGAGAAACACTCCTTTTTTTTCCTGAACAGAATTTTGAATAAATTGGATACATTTTATTAAGGCATGTGTCTTTACCACTAATTACTGGTACTCGTAAAAGTTATATTTAACAGTCAGTTAACGTTTACCGATAGTGCTCCCTTTTGCTACAACAGGTCGGCATACACAACATCTGATTGCAGGCATCTGCACAACTGTAATGAGAGGCTTTAAAACGCAGCAACTGAGCGTTTGAACCAATAGATTTTGTTGGGTTTTTAATTCCTCTCGGTATGTTTGGATAGTTGTGGGCTGCACAGTGGAGCTGTTGTTAGCATGGCTGCCTCACAGCACTGAGGCCCTGGGTTAAATTCTGGAACTGGGGTGCTGTCTGTGTGGAGTTTGTACATTTTCCCCAGGTTCATGTGGGATTTCTCCAGTTTTCTGACATGCTGGTGGGTTAATTGGCTTCTGGAAAAGCTGGCCCTGGTGTGAGTGTGTGTCTGTGTGTGTCTGCCCTGGTGGTGGACTGCTGCCCTGTCCAGGGTGCACCCTGCTGGGCTTGGCTCCTGCTCCCCCCGAGACCCTGTACTGGATAAAGCAGTAATAATAAAAAACTTTATTTTATATAGAGCCTTTAAAAAAAATCTTCTTAAACCACTTTGCAGGAAAAATAAAAAAAAAATATATAAAAACAGTAACAAAGATAGATATAACAAATTTAGCACAAAGAAACATGAGGGATAAGAAATGCAGCAGAATATGCATGGAGCAGGCACAGACACCAATTAAATAATCTCCTTTCTGAAGAAGAAGGTTTTAAGTCTGGATCTGACTGCGCCCAGGTTGTGTCTTTAGTGTGTTGTCATACATACAGTGTGTATTGTCTGTTACATGACCCGTCTTCTTTTTCAATTCTCTCGTTTCCAGGTCTTATTGCTTTCCCTATCTACTACATTTGTAAAAAGCAGAGGAAAAGGTCTCAGGGTACAGGACGCTGGCTCTGCTGATGAAGAGGGCACCAGGATCCTGGAGGGAAATTAGCAATAGTACAGTATGTACCAAATACCCCCAGCCTGTGGCCGGGAGGCACACTGCTGTGGAGAATGACCTGAAAGGCCACATGGCTTCTTACACACGTCTTTGCTTATTTGTTTGAATATTGTCAGTCTTTGAACTGTCAGGGCAACTTTGTTATTTTTGTTTTGTTTTTAAAACACAGGCAACTTTGCACATCGGGGCACTATAAGCCCTCTCCTCATGTCCCTGTTCTCTGGTGGCTACTGAATTCTTGCTCCTCTTTCTGAAAGACTGTAGTGCGGATTTAGAAGCTGAATAATGGCACCCAGTCGGTGCCACTGTTATTTTAGACATTATATGTGGTGCTGTAAATGGAATGTGATTTTTTTTATTCTGATGGCAAAAGAAATATAGTAATGGCAGAGATAGATCAGTTTTACATAGTGGTACAAAAGACGTTTGTTTTTTTTAAATAGAAGGAGAGGTTTAAATATCATAAAAATAAGGCTTGAATGTGGCTCCTTCTCCACTGTGTAGGGTCCCTGATAACTAACCTGGGATGTGAAAATGTGTGACCTCCCATGAAGAAATGTATTTGAAAAAATACTGTATAATACCCGCTCAGCTCTGCAAACATGTCTCAGGTAAAATAACACTTCTCAGTTGGATGAATATGGCCAACTTTTTCATTTGCTGTATATGTTCATCATTCTCAGATATGTGTGCTTTATTTGAAAATTCTTATGAAAACAAGTACTTTGTTCAGTGATTTATCCAGTTAAGACTTTTTTTTACCTTGGTAAAATGAATATTTTTACTGACTTTGAAAGTCATCTTTGTAATGCCGTTCCTCATCATTCAGTGAGGGAAAAGATCTTTAAATCTTCCGCTGTGCGTTTTACATGAGTATATTTTTTTGCCTATTGCTGAAACCAAAGTTTTTCCCCCTAGCATCAAGTACCGTAATATTTTCTATTAGCTGTTAGCATATGGTGTCTTTTTTTTAACTAGTATTCATGATAAAACTTTTGCCATAAATGACAGTTAATAATATGTTCTGCATGATTAGTTAGTTTCAAGGCAGGGGTTTCTTTCTCCCCGTGACAAATCTTTCTCATGGTATGCCTGTATTTATGGTTAGTAAGATTTTATGTGTAGGAGAGTTTGTTTTCATGCAGCTTTAAAACATTTTGAAGAGCAAGATAGTGGAAGAGTGTAACCACCACAGAAAATGGATATCTTCTTCTTTTAGCTTGTATGTCTTATTTCTGCCACTGATACTGGTGTAAATAAATCTAGAAAGTTTGAAAATGTTACTTTTCCTTTTTGGTGAAGATGATCTAGTAGCACAAGTATATGCATTTATTGTTGTCTCCTCCACAAAGCAGGCAGCACAATTTCAAAGTCCAGTTTGACTTTTGTAGACAGTTTTCAAGTACTGTAATAGAGATATTTTAACAACTATAGTAAGAAATAAAAAAAGGCTCCAGAGACGTCCTAAAACGTTATTTGTTAATAAACTGACTAAATTGAAACTGGAGAATGTTCCTCTCCATTGATCTAAAAAAACCCAAACTGACCTGTCAAATGATTAACACATCCACTAAGGGAAATAATTCTGGCAAAATCTACAGTGGAACACCTATGACATTGTAAAACTTTAATTTCTTCATTGACTGGCATCCTGAACCTTTTGTCAATTCTTATTTCTATCGTTTTCGTTCACCATACTTTCATTAAGGCTCTAGGAATATACCTCAAACTACAGAATCTAAGGACGAATAAGGATTGTGTAAAACAGTGAGAGAGATATATCTTATCTTAAAGACATAAACTACCTATGGAGTTTTGTATGATGTACATTATAATATTTCGGGATTAGAGACATTGCAACAGATTATCAAACAATTAATCTCAGGGAAAAGTAAAGTAGCAATTTAATTTTTAAGGACTTTTGTGTGTTCTTATGTTTTAGAGGACATAAAACATCTAAAACCGAATATTACATCTAAAACCGAATATTACACAGTTAGAGAGCTGATCAAATTAAAACTGTGTTTAAATATAATTTAGGTCAAGACATGGATTATTTACAGTCTAATGTATCCAGGTAATAATAATCCAGGTATCTGCAAAAGGTCCTTCTAAAGAAGTTGATGATTTTAGTAAGTAAATGTTCAGAGTCAGTATTTCTTATACATATTAAAAAATTTGTAAAACATTTTAGTTTGAGTTCCACTTTCAGGTTACTATTAATTTGTCAGCTTCCTAACAGGATTTACACCATCTACTGTATACAACCTGTATTGTTAAATTGTCTCAAAATGCAAACTGGACATTGGGTGGTTGGATGGTTAACAGCCATGTTTTTGTCCTTAAAAATGTGTTCCAACTTTCATCAAAATACCCCTTTCCTAAAGGCAAAATGTAGCTCCTTACAGATGTGCCATTTTGATATTGTGACAATAATTAATTTTGGTGCCTTTTTAAAAATAGGTAATGGAATTCACTTGCTGTATTAACACTTTTAAATAAGGGAATTTAGCAAACCTTTATGGAATATTTTGAAACAGCACAACTTTTAAGGTCAGCCCATAAATGTGTTTGTGTGGTAGCTGTTACTGTTTGATTTCTTCTCTGCTGTTTTTGTTGAATGCATTTTCTCATATTACTGGTTGATCTGTAAATATATTGCACTTTACCCAGCCAAAAACAATTATTTTAAACCTTTTTGTAAAGACAGATATAGTATGTCTGAAGGTGCTGTACATCCACACTGGACACAAGACACGTGAGGAAATGCTTTAGAGGTGTTTGCAGTGCAAAGGAATATTCTCAGCAGAAGTGAACTCAGCGCTTGGACTGGCTGGATGGGTGGAATGGTCTCTTTGCCCCTTACGTTCATTAAAAATATTTCCATTCTTAAGAAAATCTTTATATAGAAATATGTTCTTTAGTAAAATGTATCAGAATTCTAATGTACATATACAGTAGCTATGGCAATTGACTCCTCTAATACAGTATTTGCTTTTCTAAAATGGAAAGAATTTGGCTAGAAGACTATAAAAATTAAAATATATATATATTGTATATACTTATAACATTAAATATACATTTTATGTAATGATGTACAGTGGTGTTGAAATAATCTAGATTAATAAATATTAGCTATATATAAAATTAATAAATAATAGCTATATTGCTTTTATGTCTAATGAGAACAACATAACTTTGAAATTTAGCTCTGCAGCAAATTTCAGCAGTTTTTATTACTGAAACAGAGTTTCTGGTGTTATTATTAATGACAGATCAGATGTCTGAATGCATACATATTCAAAGTCACTGAACTCTCGTCCTGCTCGTCCTGTAGTAATGCTAGTTATAGACGACAAGGCCCGTTCAGCATTTTTATACATGACATTAGGCATGTTGGGATGTTAATTGCAATATTAAGACATGACCCACACCTGTGTGGAAGACCTTTTTTAAATATACTTGGTGTCCCTCAGGTGTTTCTGATTTTTTATGTCCGCTACCTGTACATAACATAATTAGAATTTAATTATGTATACAGAGACAACATTTTCCACTATAATGGAAAATTAAATTTGTCGGATGGTGGCGAGAGCTCTTGGCCCTCATAGTGGTGTTCTTGATGACACTGCTGTTGGGACAGTCTGTCAAGTAAGCTGTGTTGAATAGGAATGGATGAGCAGGAATATATGTTTATTGGCTGTGTTTTTCAATTGTTTTTAAACCAAGTCTGATGTGGATTAATAATTCATCATCTTTTCTCACTACTCTTTGTCCAGTGTTGATGCACATTAAATCTAATCGTCGATTAGATTAAATGGAATCGTAGATTATGGACTCTGCCATCTCTGTCATAAGATGCCACACAGTCTTTTGTAAAATGTTAGTGCTTTTTTATAGCTTTTTCAGCACCCATTCTACGTTTTGTCATATTGATGTTATTCTTACAGATTCTGTCTAAAACTGTTACTAGTTAAAGCATAAAGGTAAACAGAATTATGTAGCTGTTGACCCCATCACAAAACAAATTATGAAAAGCATCAATACAGTTCTTTCAGGATAAAAGGATACATTTTCATCTGATAACTAGTTGGAAACAAACTGAGAAATATCCAGTACGTTCTGCCATAGCAGAATATTGTGTGAAAAAGTATCAAGATGTAGCCCATTTAACATGAAATGTAGGTGACGATAATTATAGATGGCACCAGTGTGTTAAGATTAAACACAAAAAAGATTAAGGAAAAGCAAGAGTGCGATCTTGAAGGTGTCTGAATAAACATCTCAGTGTTTGACATTTACATTTACATCTAGTAGTTAGATGTATATCTTTCAGTTGTCTCCGTTTAAGAACACCTATCATATTTGTTAAAATATAAATATACGTGGTGCCCTATTCATTGATCTACAATTTTCTAACTGATTGATCAAATTTCATAGGTAACGGGAGACACCACCATCTATCTCACCAAGCAATCAGGACAAGACAGGGTACACCCTGGATGGGACTCCAGTCTATCCCAGGGCACACACAGACACACACACTCACAACAGGGCCAAGTGACCTACTAGTATGTCTTTGGACTGTGGGAAGAAACCCACACAAACCCAAGAACATGTAGACTCCACACAGACAGCACTCCAGGTCTGCAGTTGAACCCAGGGCCCCTAGCGTAGCAAGGCAGCAATGCTAACCACAGCTCCATCGTGCTGCACTAATGTGTATATATACATATTATAGTATCCTGAAAAATCACTTACCAACCTTTTGTGATGTTTTTTTTTTTATATATAAAGAATGACAGGTTTTAATTTAGCATGGCAGATCCATAGCATGAATATAGTCCATAGTTTCCACTGAAACATGGACCAGGGCTTTAAGAACTCTGCTGGACTGCTGGCTGTTGGTTCTGACTAGGAACAGACAGTAGGGAAATCAGGGCTTGAGTACAGTCAAGAAGGATCGCTAGTGTCTGGGATGCTGTTGATGAGGTTATTTTTAAGGCCCATTAAACATGTTTCTCACTGGATTAAGGCTGGAATTTTGTACCACACTGTAACCATTATAAACACCTCTTAGCTGATATTTTGGCGCTGTGATGCCATTTCAACTTTTAAACTAGAGGTTTTATCACTTTGTCAGTGCCTTTTGGTTTGATTGCCCTTTCTGTTTAGCTGTAGGAGTCTCTTTATAAACTTAACACTTTCGATATGTTCTGTAAGTGACAGGACTGCTGTGCAATTTAGAAAAAAATAAGTAAAGCACCTTGTTTTCTTATTATTTTTTGCACTAACTATAAAATAGGCATTAGCTTCTATAACCAAAATTATCCTGCTGGATAGGATATCCAAATGGTTAGAGTTGCTTTGCTTTGTTACAACTTTTAAAAATAGTTACTTCAAGTGTTGTGAAAAACTACACTGTTAATTCATTGTTCTGAACTTTTCCCTTAAACGATGTACAGTTGTAAATATCCAGCCATGTGAGGTAGAAATTGTAAAACATGCACTGTCAAGTCACTTTTATTGTTTAAAGAAACAGATAAATGTAGCATGTTTACAGTATAATTTAAAACATGTAAACTAAAATATCATAAAATTGGTTGATAGTAATCTATTGATTACTTCTGTTGATTAGTTCTGTTATTTAACAGGAACTAAACAATTAAATACCAAATACATCAAGAAAAAGAATAAAACATTACCAAAATCTTTGCATTTGTATTTGCTTTTGTTGTTATTTAAGTATAAATTAAAAAGTACTTCATAATAGTGAAGTGTATAGATTCCTCCTGGGTCATTAAATCTGTGTGAGATTAAACCATTTTATTGCTCATTTTAATATGCATGTGAATGCAGCTTTTTTTTCTCTATTACTCTGCAGTTCTTTTAGTTGTATAAAAGTGCTTGTTAAAACAATAGTTACAGAGCATCAAAAACACAACTTATATCTGCCACAGATTTGTACGATTATCGTGAAAATGATAGAATATACAGGAATGTCAAATTGGATATAACCTGTGACACAGATTTACCAAAGAACATTTTTGGGGGTCCTGCAACATATGAACTTTGTAAGAGCAGTATTTCAAGCTTATCTTCTACTTATAGCACAACTACAAGACATCAATACATATGCAGCTGCTTATAAATATTTGTATGCTCTTTTACATACACTGGTCATATGTTACATGGTAACAGATATAGTATGTACAAATACGATCCATAATCAAAATCTGTATCCATAACTCTTAATAATTTAAACGTGGCTTCTGCTATAATACTGTACATATTCAGTCTTGTCTAGTTGCCACTTGCAGCTCAGATAGCCAACACGAAGGTCAGAGGCAGCTTCTTGCTGATCTGAGGCAAGATCCACCTGCTGGCAGAGAATAAACAAGGTGAAATGAGATTAGTAACAGCAAAAGACAGACAATTCATAAAATCGGAGGAGGAACGAAGAAATGACTCACCTAGCCGTTACAGGAGAACCATGACTTCGAGTCCGTATTTTAATAAGTGCTGGGTGGGGAGTACAATCAGTTCTAACAGAATTTTGGAATGTACTGTAGATTGTCTAAAAGTATTTTCTTCCCCAATGCTGCCGAGTCAGAGCTCTTGTTTATGATACCCCCCACAAACAGTTTCCAGCTGAGGGCCAGATTGTCTTTCACGTCTTGATTATAGTGGGTTCATCCGTCCGGCTGAGGGGAGCTGACTGCAGGCACCCTCGCTCATCACTTCGTGAGGAAGGAGTCGGGAAGATTCTCCGGGGTCAGGAAGAAGCAGGTGAGCAGCAGAGCGGAAGTGGACGAGATTACGGGATGACCTCCTCCTGACCTTTCAATTCCAACTCCATTTACTTATTTAGTAGTTTGGCCAAACCATAATTAATGCAAGGTAGAGGCATGACTTGGATTAGTAGGTTTTTTAGCTTAACTCACCTGGCTGAGGGATGGACAGTCTGACCACAAGCACAAGACTGATAGAAGCCCAAGAGAAATGAGTGAGAAGTCCATAACACCGATGCTGAATAGTTATTGGTGTTTAGTAAAATGTATCTCATCGGGCATTTAGGTTGCAGAAGCATTTTATCTGCCTTTGAGGAGCATTCTGTGTGAGGAGTTTTGTTTTTTTAGGATCCAGTATATATTATTTACATTTACTGCAGGCATATTATAAAAGCATGCAGGTAAGTGGATTCAGTTTGTGATTATCGTGCTTTAGACAACTGTGTGTCAACAGCCACACCCACCTTCTGGTTTATGCTAACTCTCTGCTCTTGTGTGATGACAAGGTAAGAAGTGGTATTTTATTTTTAGAAATAGAGACAATTAGAACAATCACGGATTCATCAGTCCCCACAGGATGCTGGAAAAATGTTGTACATCATGATAGAATGCATACATCTACTGAACACAAATAGTAGCAATTGATTGTGTCATTTAGCCAAAGTAATGGGTAGCAGCTTCCCTTCACAATATCATAACAGGTACAGTTCAAGGAGTAAAAATACAGTGTGCCTTTTGTAAACAGTACTTTTGTGGATATACTCTGCATTTCTAAACTCTGAACCACAGCTGTTTAAAGAATGTATTTAAAGGCAGCTTACTCACCTGACTATCTCTTATGGTGATTGTGCAAAACCTGGAAAACACCATTGAAACTTAATTGGCAGTGTAATCTGGCATAATTGAAGAGAACATTAATATTTAAATACTTCAAAATAAAATCAATCAGGAAACCTGAGCCTTGCATCGAACATACAGACTGCAAATACTATGCCTACATGCTCTCCTGCTTTTAATTCCAACTTTAAATTATTTCTGTACTTAAGTAATGTTACTTTTAGTTTAATTGAATAATAAATATGCTTTCTGTAATCTAAAAACTCATCTTCATTTATCCTACATTGTAGTAAAGGGATTTTCTCAGTTTTCTCTCTGGAATACAGCAGCTTTACCTGGATAATAGTCACTTGCAGCACATGTCCTGCTTCTATCCACAGGAACGTCCCGCTGGCAGAAACTTTGAGCTGCCGAGTTCAAGGCCTCTTTGAGATTTTCAGCATAATAAACATTGATTGCAGAAGAAGCGAAGTTACATTAAAAGAAGGGAAGAAGAGGAGTTACATCACAAGTCATCAATTTTAGATTCAAGTTATTTAATTCTAGTGGGTTAAATATTATCAATGACCACTTCACTATGTTGTTTCCTGGCCTTTTTTTCCCATTGATCGTCTGTTACATTTGTAAGTATCTAACTAGAAACTGTATGATGCCCTACTGGTAATATAAATTAAACATTAATGTTTACAGACATGAACAGTTAATCAATATAAAGTAGTCAATATAAAAAAAATGGTCAATATTGAAATTGATGTTAGTTTGTCTAAAACTGTATTGAGACATAATCATATGTTTGACAAGGAATTAACATGCAGATAGTTTGATGTGAAAGTTAGACACAGACATGGTACACATCCAAAATGAAATGCAGTGTTTGAGACAACTAGCTGCAGAAGGAGTTGATTTGTAAGAGATAATCCAGTGCTGTGTATGCAAAATGTATTTAAAAAATATTACATTCAATATTATAATCACATTGAGAAGAATTTGGGGACTTTTATTAATTGTTTCTCAGTATTTGTTGATGATTTACATTAGGAGGTGCATGACTTTGCAGCCATTTATATTCAGTCTTGATTTGTCCATCATTTATTGTATGATGTCTGAAGATATTAATTACAGGTGAAACAGCCAATAAATTATGTAGTTTTGCATGACTGAAGAAGGCATATTATATATTTATAAGGAGAAACTAACAGTCATATCACATTATCCACGCATTGTTCTAAAATAAAATGAGGAAATATCTTTGTTACAATTTACAATAGTGTTTCTGGTTTGCAGTGGGCCCTGGGTTCAATTCTTGGGATGCGATCTGTGTGGAGTTTGTATGGAAACCCAAGTAAACAAGGGGTCCTGAAAATAAAAACATACTAGAAGGCTGATTGGCTTCTGGGGAAAACGACCCCGGTGTGAGGGTGTGCACCTTGCGATATGAACTGGCTTCCCTCCCAGGGTGTATCCTGCCTTGCGCCCGTTGCTTGTGGGGATAGAGTCTAGCTCCCGGGCCACCGGAGACTGAATGAAGTGGTTAGAAGATGGACTGACTGTTATTTTGCTTGTGGAGCATACTGAACAGCCACAATGCAGAGTCAACTAACACTGAATATGGTGCACTTTTAATCTGATCACATATTAGTTGTATCAGAGTCCAGATTAAAAACTGATACAACACTGACAAAGACAATACCAAGCACCATCGTATTGCTCACCATTTATTCTTCCTTTCCAATCTCCTGTTATAAATTGTGACATTGTGCTGAAGAATTACATTATCTATTGTGTTTCTGAATACAAGTGAACAGTAGCAGAGTGCTTACGCACGTTTTCTGATCTGCAACCGCAGTACTGCGATAGGACGTCTTTTATTGAAAGCAGCCTCTTTTTAAGATGTGATATCTACAGTAAATATAAAGTTTATTTTTGTACGAATGTGGAATGTGAGCAATGATATCAATGCAGAGAAAAGTCAGTGATTCTCCCGAACGTTTTCGTGACAGCGGAATATATTGTCGGTGAGTTCTGCCCAAACAAGAGCCGTCAAACACGCATCATCGCATAAACAAAATCTTGCTTGTTCATGAATTTCTGCAAGGAAATCGCAAACTCTAACTCGGGAAGCAGAGGCTCGCTTTTTCTGAACTGTCTAGTGTTTCTCGAAACCGGTAACTGAACGAGTTTACATTGCTGAGAGTTTCACGAGTTTCTTCTCTTGTCTTCAGCCTTTGGAAAATAATTTGGGCAGCAAATTTACTCGCACTTCCGGCCTGCACAAGGAAGTTTATGTATGTAGCCTTAGCAACGACAGAGTTCCTTCTTATTATAATCTCTGTTTCTTCACTTCCGAGAGAATATCCAAACAGCTGGTGAGATTTCCTATCAAACTGTGTGTGTGTGATGTCTTTGCAAGACAGAGATCCAGTGTATCAACATGTATTACAGACAAGCTATTCGGGATGTAGAAGATTGTTTAATCTGTTTCACAGGACAGTTGTGGTCATTTGACTTTTTATATGACTTTTTTATATTTTTTATATGACTTTTTTTCTTCCGTTGAGATCCATCATTTCATTTTCTACTTCACGCGTATTAACCCAACAACCAGTATTTTAGAGATTAGATGAGGGAGCAGCAAAGGAGCAATTTTTTTTCTTTCTCTCCTCTGTAGATTTTGCGCAAACTCGAGTTTCAAGTCGATCTGCAGCAGGTGTTAGGATATTATTTTGAGAATGTTGTTTTCACCTTCTTTACTAAAATCAAGCAGAATAGCTTTTTTAAATAATTTATGCTCAATCGATTGCTTATAAAAGTAATTTGTTTTCTTTCAGGTTCCAGTCCACATTGGAGAAATGAGTAAAAACAACAAACAGTTGAGGTACTGTATATAAAACTAGGGATGAGCACGACTGCAATACCATCGTTGCAATGTATTTCGACATTGAAGTGTATACTGTGTGTTCTGCATATAGTAAATGTTTGTAGAGAGAAAACAAAGAATTAGTACGGATTGCTCCATTCACTGAAATAATTCTCGTTTTCCTCTTCGGTGTATTTTCCTTATTCTTATAGACGTCCACTTCGGTGTATTTTCCTTATTCTTATAGACATGTCGTGAGTACGGTTTTATGTTGCTGTACAGTATGTCATTGTCATTAACTTCATTATCATATATTTTCCCCCTGTGCTTTCTTATAGGGAGTCTCGGGGTTTGGAAGTAGAGTTAATAAAGAACCTCCAACAAAAAGTTTACTTTCTTGAACTGGAAGCAACATTTCTATATCCATTTTACACGATTTCAGATATGATCAAGGCCCCTTTTAAATTGTTACCATTTAACAAAAAAAAAAGCCTGTTATGACCTGGAACGATAAGGATCATCAGATTTAATCTAAATCATGCAATACATTTAAGCTTTATTTTATAAAACTTTAAACATAACAACAAATAATTGTTATATAAATATATTCCTGTAGATGTTCTAAGTAATTTGAAGTTATTTATTACAAATCTCTATCTGTGAATTTTGAAATTCATGTGACTGATTAACTAATGGAAGTAAAATGCAGATGCTTTGAACTGAAACTGATCCTTGACGATGTTTATGAACTCGAGAAAAAGCAAGGAAAGCAGCTGAACTGCAGCCTCAGATCACCTCAGAAGCAGAGCACATGCTGAGAAGCTTACAGGTACATGCAAATAACATGGGAGATCAGCAGCAGGACCTTTAAAGCCATCATTAAATGACATGAGGCAGAGTCTGTTTCAGTTTCTTAATTATAACTGTAAGGGAGCATTAATATTTCTAAATCTTATAAAGATATTACATTAAAAAAATACCGCTGCTGCTTCAGTTAAAATTAACATTTGCTTTTAGTGCAGTATTGATTTTATTGTGTCAGATCAGAAGTCATATTTAGTTTATATGGATGGATTATTTGAAGATATATTGTTGTATCTTTCCATTTTCTAAATAAGAATTGATAAGTTATGTTTACTCATAATGAATTTTAAAATGAGAAAAATATTACTGCTGTCAAATTCAGTATTCACAATGCTAAAAGTAAGTTTAATAACATTATACATGTCTTATCTGCATATGGCTTGTCGTGACTTTGTACTGTCATTATTCAGGAACTTCAGTCACAGTCTGATGGTCTTCATATTGAATTAATGAGAAAGGAAGGAAACATCAATATATTACAGACTGATAGAGAAAAAATAAGTGCTGAGATTCAAGCTATAGATGGTAAGTTATCCTAGGTTCCTCTAGCTCACTGTGATTCATACATCATATGTAACTGAAGGTAAGCAAGTGCAAAACCTATCTCTTAAATTGTTTTTTTTCCCTATTCTTTCTTACATAAACCTCCTTATTCTAAATTTCTTCAGATGGCCATTTGAAGGATAAACAGGCTCTTATAAAGGAGATAGTACAGCTGAAGAGGTTGAAAGAGCATGCAGACAGACAGGTTTCTCAGAAGGAAATCGAGATACTGAAGACTAGGCAGGAGATAGAGCAACAGCTGACAAAACTCAAAAGCAGTGAATTTAGAGTCACTTTACTGGAGCATGAGGTGAGTTCTGTTTCATATGGGATGCTTGATCTCAAAGTGATTTAGCAAATCTCATCGATTGACTGCTGAAGTCACTTTTATGATGCAACCACAATCTCACTAAATCAGTGGGTGCATCAAAAACAAACACAGGTTGTTCATACTAGTATTAAATACCGTGTGATCCACAATGCACGCTTTTTCATAATAAGAGTGAGCTCTGGCAGCATTTGAATGAAAATGCCGACAAGCCACACAATTGTCGAAAACTGTTTGATGTTATTTAGAAAATATAGAATAGCAGAATTGTCCAATTTGCACATTGCAAAGCTTCAACATTGTAAGATGCAGTTTACTTGGTAAACAATAGTCGCATGTGTCACATGCCTTTTCATATTAAAAATAAATCAGATGATTTAGGACACATTAATAGCAGAAGGGAGTTTTTTAATTATTAATATGAATTGCACTGCCATTTCTTGCCATTGCACAGCTGCAGCAGAGAGAAGATCAGCACAAGACAGTAGAGATGCATCTGTCAGAGAAGAGAGTGGAGTTGCAGAAGGTGCACTCAGCAGTGCATGAAATGGAAGAGAAGCACTTCTCGAACACAGTTACTATGCAAGACCACATCACAAAAGAACTGAGGTGCTGGTGATACATTTGAGTCAGTGTTCTAGTAAGGGGAAATCTTGATCACTAATGAAAATGTTCTGAAAAATGTTTTTGTTTTTTAATTTAAAGAATTTTAGTTCATGTTGGCACAATTTTATTTCTCATCGAGAGCCAAACCAGCAGTTTGACTTAATACAGACATAGAAGAATTTAATGTTTTTACTTCAGCTTTATCAAGCTGTAATATACTGTATATAGCTTGATAAAGCTGCATTAAAAACAAACCATTAGAGTTCTGGATGTGATGAAACAACGTGTACCAGCAAAATTCATCCTATTTATATGTAAAAAACAGCAGTCAAATCCTATTAAACATACCGCATGCATGTGTGCAATACGAGTGTTCTCACTTATAGATAATACTAACTACAGTTTTCAAGTTAATTATATATTGAGAACCTTGTGTTCATAATTACTACAGTATTTCACACTAATAAATAATCTGAAGGGGTCGCATATGCTTCCTTTCTGATGAACAGAGATGAGATATGTTTTCTCCATCAAGAGCAGCGAGAGAGAGATCTGAGAGCAGAACGGAACAGATTGCTGAGGCAGAAAATGTCTGCAGACTGTGAGACCCTGGCCAAAGAAAATTCGGAGTTACGCTCTCGACTTGCAGAGCTGTCCAGACAGCTGGATAAGGTGCAGTATCCTAAGTCAAACAGTACAGTACGAGGTGATGCCGTTATTGTACAGGATGTTGCTCACACGTGTTCTTAGCTTCACAAAGTAAGGTTGTGTGCTATGGATTTAATCATAATCCATCCGGTTTTCTTGTTCATCCTTCCAAGTTGTCGTTTTCTAAACAAATGGAACATATACAGTTCAGACTGTATACAGGAGGGACAGTTTAGAGGCACCTTGACAGTGTGGTTTTGGACTGTGGGAGAACAATGGAGAATTGAATTCTGCATCACTTGTCAGACTGCTGAGCAGTAAAGCGCTGTAATTACCCCAAAATTAATTTCATGTTAATTTACTGAGTGACTATATAGTCAGATATCAGTCAATAATTAAAGTGACTTTAGCCCCCAGATATGCAACACAGGCTAGGAAGACCTTATGTTTTTCACCATAGTCTCCTTGTGGAATTCACACTGCCGGCACCACTTCGGGAAGTGCAGTAAGTGACAGTTGTACACGCTGCATTACTGTGAATGAAATAGGAGTCAGCAGTGTGAAGAAAGAACTGCGAGGCACTCATTCCTCAAGATGACAGTGTGTGCCCAAACACAGTCAAGGTTGCACTGCTGAGCTACAAGATTTTTTGAGAAAGAGGTCTCTTGTTCCATGCTTTTATATAATGTGTATGATAAAATCAGCTGTCATATTTGTTCGTGTAGCGACTGCTCTGACCAAAATAGCTGAAATACTTGTCTGAGGACACAGGTTAGGAAGAAAATATCCTAATTTCAGAATTTGAGGAGGAGTGTTGTCACTCTGTCCCCCCAGCGATGGACTAATAGAACTACATGAAGTGTGTGTACCTCTGCAGGAAAGGGCTCTGATGGGGGAGAGCGTCTCTCAGCATTCCCATTCCCTCGTCCAGCTCCTCTCAGTGAAGGACAGCGAGAAGCAGCTACAGCATCAGCTGAAACAACAGAAGGAAATTCTGGATGGAGAGAAAGTTAAACACAAGGAAATTATGGACAAGGTACAACAAAGTCAAACTATGTTTTCCTGATCGTAGGGAGAAATTCCAGCTAATTGAACAAGTCAATCACTCTTTGACCGTGCATAAGAAACATGGATCTTATGACATACCCAGGGGTAGCAGGATCTTTAAAACAGGAAACAAAAGTGAAACAAAAGTGCTGTTTTGTCTGAACCTTCCACCCTCTTACAATGTTCATCATCAGCTTCCATTCATGCCACTTACAGACATACCAACTAAATATACTACTGCAAATCGTTAACAAAAAACGTTTCTTTTGGATATAAATTTGATTTATAGTCTCACATTGAACTTTATATCCCCTCTAATTTTCTTAATTCCGAAAAGTGAACAATTACAAATAGTGCAATGGGATAGTTACAGAACTTTGGGTATTAAAAATGAGAATGTAACCCTTTAGGATACTAACGTGGACTGAAGTGCAGGAAAGTGTACCACCAGCTAGCGTACGCCCTTTTCCCCCAGCTGTGCCACATACTGTAGGCTGTCAAGTCACCATAACAGGCCTTGCAGGAAACTCCCAAGAGTCGAGCGGTCTGGTCAGAAAGCACTAAGAGCTGGCCAGCTCAAGGAGCATGCCAGACGTGCAGTGTCAGCTCGGCCTCCCAACTGCAATCCCCTGGAGAAGGGCCTGGGTTCAGACAAAACTGAACTCCCTGTGCCTGATGGACCGGGTCAACTGAAACATCTGCGGAGGATGGGTTCTCGACCTTGACCCATCCCCTGATTCTCTCTTACTCCCAGAAGCCCCTGGACAGCACAGTCCTGGACAGAGCTCCCAGACAGAGCCCTGGAGAAAGGAATCCTAGAACCAGAAAGGGTCTGCTGGGACCATGAAAAGTAGCCCAGAAAAAGGAGAAAAGTGAGAAGGAATAAGTGCAGGGTGAAGAATGGGACAAGAGCAATGTGCAGGTTAAAGAGTAAGACTAGGGCAGCGGTGACAGACAAAGGCTGAGGCTGCAGAGCTGGAGCTCAGGACACAGGGCTGGAGCTCAGGACACAGGGCTGGAGCTCAGGACACAGGGCTGGAGCTCAGGACACAGGGCTGGAGTTCAGGACACAGGGCTGGAGCTCAGGACTCAGAGCTGGCGTTTAGGAAACTGGGCTGGAGCTCAGGACACAGGGCTGGAGCTCAGGACAGAGGGCTGGAGCTCAGGACACAGGGCTGGCGTTTAGGAAACTGGGCTGGAGCTCAGGACACAGGGCTGGAGCTCAGGACTCAGTGCTGGCGTTTAGGACACAGGGCTGGAGTTTAGGACACAGGGCTAGAGCTCAGGACTCAGGGCTGGAGCTCAGTACACTTAGCTGGAGTTCTTGATGCCTGAACTGGAGTTCAGAGCAAAGATGAAAAATCGGAGAAGCAGCACTGCCTGCCTGCATCACGGGTTCGGAATATGTAGACGGAGCAGCCTGCTTCAGCGCTGTATTTGGAAAAGGCCGTTATAAGGAAGACCATGGTTCCGACCAGAGGAGGCCCCTGGTAATGGTGGAAATCTGGGCAGCTGAGGAGAGATGAGGTTATGGAATAATTGGTGGTCTAAAAGGTGAAAATGAGCCGAGACCGGAAGAGGACCCAGTCACAGTGGTAAGCCATGGGACGTTGTGAGCCTTCGTTAGAACGCTCCAGTTTCTCATGGCAACCATGAGCCGAGAGACACCGCAGGCTGGCAGGCATAACGGTAGATACTGTTATAGTAGAAGTAAATTATCATTCGTCCAAGTCGACTTGGGCCCCAAAATCCAGCACTGAGCATAAAAAATGTCTAAGTAGTGTGGGAATGCTAACCCTGACCCTAGCCGGGGTTTCAAATGAGCAATTGTGCAATCTGTCTCTGCAGGCCCCGAATCATGAGATTTGAAAAGTTACTGAACCCAAAAACTATTAGTCCAAAATAATCAAAACTATTGAAAGAAGCTCTTGGAATTAAACATTTTTTAATAATGTATCTTCAATATCTTACAACTTCTGATCTGACTCAGCTTTGCAGTGCAATTACTGTACCTTCATGGGTCTGTGCTGTACTGTACCTACATGAGGGAAAGTTACTCTGTCGAGGTTCTCTGGATGTAGTCTTGATGTCTGCTGTTTCCCTTGTTTTCTCTCTCTTGCTGAAGGACAGGAGATCCTGTACCTTGATGTATTAGGCTTACAGTGCCTATAACAATTATTCACCCCCCTTTTACTTTTTCACATTTTATTGTGTTACAGCATGGAACCACAATGTATTTAACTGAGAATGTTTGCCACTCATCAACACAAAGAACTATATAATGTCAAAGTGAAAAAACAATCCAGATATTTTACTAAATTAATTAAAAATAAAAGATAGAATATAATTGAATGCATAAGGACCACCTTTGGCAGCAATTACAGCTATGAGTTTCTTCGGGTAAGTCTCTATTAGCATTGCACATCTTGACACTGGACATTTTGCCCATTCTCTGCAAAATTGCTCAAGCAATGGGGACCATTTGTAAATGGCAATTTTTAAGTCATTCCACGGATGCTCAATTGGACTGGTCTGGGCTTTGACTGGGCCAGTCCAGAACATTAACCTTTTTGGTTTTAAGCCACTTTAGTGTGGCTTTTGCTGTATGTTTTGGGTCACTGTCTGTTGGAAGATGAATCGTCTTCCAAGTTCCAGTGCTCTTGCGGATTGCAGCATGTTTTCCTCCAGGATATTTCTGTACTTCGCTCCATCCATTATTCTTTCTATCTTTCTATCTAGTTTTCCAGTACCTACGCAGAGAAACAGAAACATCCCCAAAGCATGATGCTGCCACCACCATGCTTCACTGAAGGGATGGTGTTCTCAGTGTGATGTGATGTGTTAGGTCTGGGCCAGACCAGATTTATTCTGAAATCATGTGAAACACCTCAACTGCACACAGGTGGACTGTCACGTATTAGTAACTACGTGACTTGGAGAAGAAAAGTGGGTTACTTCAGAGGTGTGTCAAAGCAAGGCGGTGAATACCATTATGCATTCAATTATTTTATTTTTTTATTTTTAATTAATTTAGTAAAATGTCTGGATTTTTCTTTCACTTTGACGGAAAAGCATACTTTGTGTTGATGAGTGGCAAAAAAAAGTCTCGGTTAAATACACCATGGTTCCTGTAACACAATAAAATGTGAAAAAGTCCAAGGGGCGTGAGTACTTTTTATAGGCACTGTTTGCATCATCACATCAAGTGAGATGTATAAATACAGTACTTTACTCGCTCACACAAACGGATGGATGATTCAACCGTCCATTTTTTAACCGCTTCTTCCACTTCAGGGTCCCCAGCAAGCAATGGGGGCAGGGTGGGATACACACCGAATGGGACAGCAGTCAGTCGCAGGGCACACACAGAGACCAACACAGACATGCACACACGCTCACACCAGGGCCGGCTTTCCCTAGCATGTCTTTAGATTGTGGGGGTGGACTGGAGAACCCGGAGGAAACCCACATCAACACGTGGAGAACATACAAACAACATGCAGATTGCACCCCAGGAATTGAACCCAGGGCCCCAGATTATCAGTGTAAAAGGTCACTTGTGTTGACTTTGGCCATGTTTAAAGTGATGGTGCCAAGTGAACTCGAAACAAGTCTCTGCCTGACAGGTTTGAATGGCTATTGTTCAAGTTTAAGTGAAGTTTTCAATGTGAGAGTTTCATGGCCATTAATGACACTGTTTACTCCCTGAAACAGATCCTCCTCCTGGAGCAGGGGAGGACCTCTGCAGAGCTGAGCGGAGCTACAGTGAGCAGCCGACGGGCTGAAATGGAGGCCCTGCTGGCTAAAGAGGAGCGAGAGAACGTGAATCTTCGAAGGGACAAAGCCCTGCTAGTGGATCTTATTTCCAGCCTTCAACAAAAAGTAACATCTGTGTTTTTCAAGACAACACTCCATATGTATCCCCCTTGACTGCACATTCCTGTCAATAACAGCATAAAGTAACAGTAACGGATATACAATAACAGATTGTATATCTGTATATAAAACAAATTGTAACAAAGCTGGAGCACTAGAGGGCACTATTGTGTTTAATAAAATGTGAAAAATTATACTGCTTACAAACTAGACTGTTTGGAGGTGAAAATAAGCATTAGACTTTTTAAAGATTTTTCTCTCTTCATTGAACCAGTTCAACTAAGTTATTTTTGCTAAGCATAATCAAATTTGGACAAGCTGTTTAAAAGAAATAAACAACACTGATGCAAAGGGCGATCCCACTTGAGGAACTAGTTTTCCACGGTTTCCCTCCAGCACTTTCTGTTTACCAGCCTTTCCTCAAGGACTCCCTGTTTTTACGAATTAAAACTGTAGCCGTTTGACTTTCGGTTCCATGTATTTTTGTCATAAGCATACACTTAATTTGACTTTCGGTTCCATGTATTTTCATTGCAACATTCTATAAATAAATTGCAAATTATTACAATGCCAGGAACTCAAGATACTGTACATCTTTGTCTTGTGTTACAGCTCATTGCAAAGGACAGCGAGCTGGCACAGATATCCTCCAGAATTGAGATATATCACAAGGACATCTCAACTCTGAAGTCCCTACAGCTCAGTGAAGAGAAGACGGCTTTAAACAGACACCAGCCTGTCAGAAAAATGACAGACTCTTTAGTACAGTACTGAGAGTAGTGTGTGTTGTTTTTTCAAAGTACTGATTTTTATCTTCAGTTCAGAAGGAATTTAATTAGGAGCAGTTATAGTGGATGTATTAATTAAAAAGAATGGTAGATGTGTTTGAAACTTTTAAGAGTTTGTGATCATGGTATCAACTTAAATAAATTTGTCTGATGAGTATTGTCACTTTCAGAAATGTGGTAGTGTAAACAAACGAATTACAAATCATTAGACTATAAATAATGAAGAACATATTCCGAAAAACAACCTACACAGACTGGTCATTTATAGCTTTATATCTGGGGTATCACTAAACTTTACCTTAAGTAATGCCAAATTATGTTATAAACTCCAAATTTGTCAAGTATATATAAATTAAAATATTTCATAGTGGATTCTTCAGGTACTAGGTAAAATAAACTTCATTGTCCCATGGGGTAAATATTTATGGACACGCTTCTGTACCGCTGAATACATCACAAAACACATCTATTGTACTGTACATGCCTAACTCATTACAAACAATGGCACGTTAAATATAACAGTAAGCAGCTGGTACTCGTCATTTTGGACAGAACGAAAAGTGTCATACTGTCTTGATGAAAATGTATTATGCAAAGGAACAGGTATGGGTTTATTCCATGCTGAAAATAACGCAACGTTTCGGCTGTTGAACCTTCTTCAGGTCAGCCTGAAGAAGCCTCCACAGCCGAAACACTGTTTTTCTTCTCTTTTCAGCAGGGAATAAACCTTTACTGTACTTGTTCCTGTGCAGCCTACGCGTGCTGACACAGCTACCTACTTGAACTACAATTTATGATGGTAACCTCCTTGTTTACTTTATTATTGCGACTCACCCTGGTTAAAAGGGTCAGCCATTTCATGCAAAAACCAATGAAACCGAACCACAACTTTCAACAGACTAGCTGAATTCCTAACCGAAGACAGCCCACCACACGGTGTTTGCTTTGCTTAAAGAAAAGTTTGATCAGCATTTTAGAAGCTCGTTGTAAAATTAATTTATTTTAAAGTGCGTCTTATTTGAGCTTTTACTCACTCGAAGGAATAAAAGTAGCGTGTGTTCTCAGCGCTTTAAGGCAGTAATAATAATAACCTTCAGTGCCGTTTGCGCGGTGAGGAGGCTGTGGCTCCGCCCTGCGGGAGCTGGGGTGTGAGTGACAGCAGAGAGACCAGGAGTCAACACAGGCGGCCGGACGGACCGGCCTCGGCTTCAGAACTGGTGAGGCAGACGAGGGCCGCTCAGAACTGGTTCTGGACTGGAAACCGGCACTGCGCCGCTAACATGGAGAGCAGACAGCACGGTGAGCCGCTCTTCGTTACTGTTCTGCACCGGGGACACAAACTATCCGCCACTCTTTCTTGAAGGATGAGAAATGTAAGATAGTGCATGTGAAATATCCACGGCTTGTGACACACTTTGACTGCTGATCTGCAGCGGCACATCTGGTTTGGCAACATTGCACGGCAGGAGTAAACTTTGCGCTCCTCCTTTTTAAATAGCAAAATATTTTCTTAAAACAACTGCGCGAGGTTTGCTTATTGTTCAACTTTACACATTAGAGAAAAAATAGAACAACGTCATAAGATATTTATTTAAGTACATTTCAGATTTTTCCTTTTGGCGACGGTTCCCCGATTTCCTTTCCTGTATACTTGATCTTACCGTTGTTGTCATTAACTTTCTTTTTTTTTGCAGTTTATTAATTCATTTCCTTTAACACGAGACTCATTTGTCAGGATCAAATACAAAATGCTGTCGATGCGCTGCAATAGGTCCTTTTCTGCCAACGCCAGACTAGTTCGGAGACAGGCGATGAAGCTTTCTTGCGCTTCTGTGTTAATTTGGTGATTTGAACTGTTGAGGTTCCTTGTTCTCCGAAGACCTTTGGCTTTCTGTCGCTGTCTGATCATTTATTTATGTGACCACCTGAATAAAAAAAATGATTGTGTCGCGCAGAACAAAGGGAATGGTGTAGTTTGTTCAAACATTATACAAAAACTGTCCCCTTGGTGCTTTTTAGCCCTAAGAAACAAAACGAGATCAAGTCTGTATTCCGTAAGGTTTCATATCTACGGCACTTCTACAATTCTGTCAAATTAGAATCTAAATCTTCTATAATTCTGTCATACAGTTAGTACTGAGAAGAACACCTGAGTTATGCAAATATTCACGGTGGTATTCTAGCTGTGAGTGTCGTGGACCATATCGAACAGGTGACGCACCTGTTCTGTGAGTCCCCCTGCACGCTTCATCTAGACTGCTGGGGAGTAGCAGAACTGAACCTTATATTCATGATTTAGTTCTCAGTTCTGCTGGGAGGAGGAGGCGTTTGAGTAGTTGCAGGAGTTTAGAGGGTTTAATGACTGGAATAATGTTAGTGTATGAACGAGAGGGGAGACAACTTGGTTAGCAAACACCAGAGATCTTACGATTTTTATAATGCATATAAATTGTTTTTTTTTTTGGAAAACCTAGGAAAAGGTCCGTTTTCATTAGGAAATAACATACAGAAGAAGTGAAATCTCCATGAGAGTACTTACCAGGCAACCTGTACTATTTTCCATACATGGTGGCTCTGTGGTTAGTGTTGCTGTGTTGCAGCACTGGAGCCCTGGGGTGCTATCTGAGTTAGTACTGTATGTTCTTCTGTGTATGTCTTAGTTTTCTTCGTGGGCTCCTCCTCTCACCGTTCAGAAACCTACTGGCAGGTTAATTGGCTTCTGGGAAGATTGGCTGTGGTGTGGCTGGTCATGTCTGTGTCTGTGTCTGTGTCCAATGATGGACTGGCGTCCTGCCCAGAGTGTGTCCTGCCATGTGCCTGCAGCATGCCCGGACAGACTCCCCCCAGACCCTGTATTGGAAGAAACAATTAGGAAATGGAAGAGTAGCAGTTTTCTCAGTAGTCTATTAATGCAGCAGTAATAGTTCTAACTAAGAACTATTGTTGTGTTTGAGTTTCGTCCTGCTACACATTAACATATAATTTTAAATTTTACTATACAATAAAATATGAGTCGTTTTTTTTTAACTCAGGGGAGAGTGGGTGTTTTTGATAATAAAATAAAAAATGGAAATAAAATAGATTTGATGAACTATGTCTTGCATTCCTCCATTCTTTCCCATTAGTTAGCAGAAAGCTACTTATTCCTCTTCAAGCCAGGAAGTCTGTTAAGGTTATAAAAACTGTCACTTTCTGAACACCGGTTCTGAAAGTGGAATTTACACAGTTTTACACCTCCTTCGAGCCCACTGCACTGCAACAAGACAATTACTGTGGTAGGTTATTTAAACTGTTATAATTACAGTGAGTTGTAACTCGCGGTTGTAATGCCATTGTAGAACTGTCTTTTGTGGTGTCCTACATTCACCCTAATAATCTTGAGACAGGCCGGCTTTCTCTCCCCTATCAGCCGGGTGCCTGGAAACAGGTTGCTCTGCCCAATTTGTGTCAGAAGAGTAGAGATCATTTGTGTGTCCTTTAATTAGAGAAGATTAAAACGATTCAGGAAGAACACGGAGAAACTTCCTTTGTAACCTGTATGTAAAACCTCCCACTAACTGCTGCTGAGGAACTAGCTCCTGGTTGTTGTTTTCCTATTTCTTTTTCTTTACTTGTCTGTGTCATATTTTGCACTTCACTGAAGTATGTATTATACACTTTTTCAATCCTTCGTGCACGGAAAGATGGTCCATCGTTTGTGATTTTTGCAGACCAGAATTAGGCTTCTTGCACAGCCTCTTGGGTAAAAATACATTTCCCTGCAGTTTCCACTGGTTCGTGTTTCACTGTTGATTGTGTTGAAGTCCTTTTGGTCGATTGTGATAATGCATTTGAGGATTTAGAAATCTTAAATCAAACGTCCTCTGTTAAGGACTAAAAAGGATCAGTTCCAGTCAAATATCACAACACAGTACACTAGTCTTTCGACCACAGGAATGCATCTGGTCTCTCTTCACTATACTAGAATTCAGAAAAGCAATTTCTTTTTCATAAAGTAACTAAAATTATACATAATATTAAGTAGTGATATTTGCTGTATGCTCTATACATTTGTATGATATATTTGCTTTAAGCTGTCTCTCAGACCTTTTCAAAAACTTTGTTATCTCATGAAAATAGCTTTATTATCTCATTGTTGACAGTGAAAGTATTTGTTAATTATAATGCTACAAAAGTTGAGAAAGCGAACTTGGTAAGGTATTAGTTAAGGTAGCATTCTGTATTGCAGCTTGGGAAATTTAAGGTTAATTCGTTTTGTAACGAAGTGACAGGATTTGGAATGCAGTTTGAAATCACTTGTTCATTGTCTTATAAACACTTTTATCATATATTTGAGACTCATTGTGTAAAAAAATCTTCATCAAATATGAAACAGCAAATCTATTGAGGGCATGTTCTGTAGCCCTAATTCTGTTGTTTAGACAAGTGATTCATTTACATATTTTACCTTGTGGGAGGAATGAATTATTTCCCACTTGTGTGAAGTGAGACTGTATCAAACAATGTGAATGGCTGATGACTGTGTACATCTGAATTGTCAGACTCTTTAAACAAATTTCTCTTCTATACTTGAACTTTCATGAGAGTAAACCACATATGAAACCACAAATACTGTAGCAATGATGTGAAAGAAATCCTTCTAAAATCCCCACACACCTTGTTAATTTAAGAGGTGAAACAGTTTTTCACTTCCCTGCCTGTCTTCTGTGTAGTGGAGCTGCTCCTATATGTACAGCCCTTTCAGATCCTCTCACATCGCAATTAAATGAGTTATGCAAATTCAGGGAAATGTGCATCTATTCTATATTTTACAACTGTTTTAGTACAATGCTCTTAACAAAGAATATACCACATGCTTTTCTTCTACTGGTGTTTGTTACACAATAAATAGTAGTAAGCTGTAAAACATTTTCATCATTGTTATTTCATAAAATCTTATCCAGATAACCCCACCTTTCATTTAGAAAGATTCTCACTCTGTTTTCCAGATACGATAATGTCTTCCCTCGTAGACTGTTTTCAGGCATAGTATTCCTTTCTGCTGTTTGAGCACATCCAGACACATAAAAACTTAAATACAAGTGCTTTAGCTTATTCCTCATGTAAAACATCAGGGCTCCATCTCATCATTCATAATCCACCAAAGCACTTCTGCTGATTGTTTCAGTGTTAACAAAAATGTTTTTCTTCATTACTACTGTGGAAGAATGCAAAGCTGAAATATAAAAAGATGGAAGAAAAAATATAACACTTTCCAAGTGACCGTTTTCTTTTTCTTCATTCATTCTGTTTTTTAGCATGGAACTAAGATCTGCTCCTGCTTTTGGAGCTCGCACTCTGCAACAGGTTTCCACTTTAACCTTTGTTACTGTTTTTCTGTCGAAGGAGTCAGTGTGCACACGGCCAGTGTCACAGTATTGAATAGCTCTGCATGTACAATACAAACATGCAGTACTCTGGCAAATACTGCACTGCTGGTGGACAGCTCCCCCAGACTCACTGGGAAACACACATTCATTGCAAAATTAAAGTAGACAACAATTGTTGTGGAAAATATCATTTGATATTAATGAATAGGACTGTAATAATCAAAGCCAGAAGACTGGACGTTTTTTGAACTAGTTCCCCTTTTCTGTTTGTGCGCAGCGTTGTGTGAGTGCAGGTGTAGGGTCTGCTCTGTGAGTTGTGAGCAGTAGCAGAGCACGTGGGTGGGACAGTGAATGTGAATGGACGGACCCCAGAGAGCTGATTCTGTGTAGGCATTCTGGCTTTTTCATCTGCATGGGAAGTTCTCTCTCCTCAAGTGGTGTGAGTGTGGAGCTGTGTCATCCTGTGAGCTACAAAACTGTCCTGTGTTTTTTTTTGCTATTTGATCAATTAATATCATTCTTACAAAGCTAAAACAAATTTTAGTATAAAATGCATTGGTGTGAATGTGTGTTTCCTGAGGAGCATTTTAAATGTGGTTTGTTCTTCGGTGGGGCTGAAATGTACTGTATTGTCCAGGCAGAGCAGCTTAGGCAAGTTGAAACCGTCAAATCATGTTAGTCAAATATATGGAATATATTATAGAATTAAAAGGGGTTCATATTAAAATCAGCAGGTATCCTGACCAGTAGGTAAAATATTTTAGATAATTTCAGGGGATTTATAGGTAATCATTTGAATAATTGAACATTCAGATCAACGTCTTTTCTTATTATTATTGTTATACAGGTTGAAGCACAAAATGTTTAAAAATGTTGGACTGCAAGGCAAAGACAGAGACACATGTCTGGACTGAGGAGTCTCCTACACTT